TATATATATACAGAGAGAGAGAGAGAGAGAGAATAATAACGAATTTCTTACTTCTTATGATCATCAGAAATTATGATAATAGAATTTAAGTCAGGCAATCTAAAAAGAAACACCCATAAAATAATTATATGAATTCAACTGTTCTTCATAATTTCGAAAAATGAGAAATCTTACTTTTCACTTCGGAGATTTTTAGGATTCTGCGTTGATAAATCAGGAATAATTCTGTTAAAGATCTCGTAGTAGTCTTGCTTCCTATGTTTGTCACATGATATAACAGCTTTGCATGATACCTAAACCAAAGAAATATAAAATAAGACCTCGTTCGAGAAAAATTATTATTAAAAAAAATCGGATTCGGAACTTACTCACACTTTGGAGAGAATGTTCTACTTCTTGGAGCTGAGATAAGAAATTAAGATTCACCTGAAACATAAACGTAAATTTATGTTGTTATTCCGTTACTGGACAATTTTTCATCGTTAATTAGGAAAGTATTAAAGGTTTATCGTGGTAAGTCGACTTATCGCGCACGCCAAAAAGGGACGCTCTTTTTCCTCTTCGTTTAAGTGTGGGGAAAATGGCAACGTTTCTAGCCCTGAAGTCGATTACATCACCTAAAATTAAGCAGAATTACTGCCTGAACAAAGATTTCATTAATTTGTTTTTATGAAACATGCTGTAATTATTTAATTATTCAACTCATTTAAATTGTTCGGATTTTTTTTTAATCTCATTATTCGATAGCTAATGTACATTATTTCTCGTATAATCTTAAGTAAATTTTTGATATCTAAAGTAAATATTTGATTTTAGCTTTACTCAATTTTGCTATATCTTAAATTTATTTTCATGCCGTATAGGGTAAACCAACCAGTGAAGGAACATTTTATACATATTGATTAAAAATAAGATTTAGAAAGTTTTTGTTTAGATTGATTGGTAACAATAGTTTACTGCCAAACAATAGGAAGTCATCTAGTAATGTTTTGGATTACTTGTTCAAATAGACTTCTGTGGAAAATGTTTTGAATTTGTTATTATCTCTGCAACA